GTAAATTATTACCAAGTTCTATTCAAATAAATATCTGGTTTGCTTAGAATTTGTCCATGAGACTTACCTCACAATGAAAGGACATAAAAAAAGGAAATTTACCAATATCACACTATTTACTCTACACTTAAAATTATGCCTGATATTGATGGACATTCGGGCCACAACTTGTCTTTTATTCTGATTTTTAATATCCTCATCCTACCAAGTTCTATTCAGAGTTCACATCTAAAACTCCCACAACTCATTTCAATCATGAATTATAATACAGACTGAATGCAAAATAAAATTTGCCCAAGTCATTTACACTATTAAAAAAAACTAATTTTTTTTGTTTGTTTTTTAATTTGGTAAATTATCTGTTATGGTCTCATTTTAAATATATTCCACTGTAAATGCCTGTCAGGTTGTTTGGCTTGCTCAGCCACAGTTTGAACACTTAGTAAGACACCGATGCCAAACAGCTGCACAAAATGAGATCAAGATGATAGGTATTTTTCTCGAACCTATATAAAAAGACCACAGACAACGTATATGAATTTCATAGACAAAGCTTTTGCAAAAGGAGAACTCTCCATCAACAACCTCTCCAGGCCGTTCACAGAGAGTTCTGATCTCCTTCCACGCGAGCCCCTGTTTTATTGTCAAAGCAGAACAGCCAGAAAAAAAACAACAGAGGTCGTAAAACATTTAACCTAAACAAACCAGCAACTCAGTTCCAGGTGTGATATCTGATCTACGATCTGAGCCCAGTTCAGCTCTAGGTCAAACTGTCAACAAAGAGGGAGGATAAACAAGAGACAAAATACGACTGCTCACAGGCAGTTAGGAGGTATTCTGGTTGATAAGAATTAAGGTCTGGGAAACACAGAGTTAACTGTCTCACATGAAGATGAAACAGTCAGTCGTAACCTCAAGGTCAGTTTATACACACATAAGGAAGAAAACACTTTAAACTAAAAATCACAATAATACTGATTAACATTAGACTGAATATGAACTAAAGTAAGACTGAATATGAACTAAAGTAATAACAAAATGATAATACCAAAAATCTCTATCACAAGAACTCTGACCTCAGCTGACTTCTGGAAAATAGCAGTATTATTTTTAATCTGTCATTAAAATATTCTTATCTAAATGCCGGAGGAAACCTCAACAAAGCTTTTTTCTTTTTTTTTCGTGGGTGTTTGGGATAAAACTTTTCATCTAAAATCATCTGAAAACTGAGATGTTTCATCTGTCGATACGTTTCCTCTTAAAAAGATATATGCTAAAAAGTTTACATATTTTTATGTTTTGAAAATGTATGCTGTAGTTTGTGGCTCTGGGTTACAGTTAACCAGTGTGTTGCTTGTATTTCATTACGTCTGAATATGTATGGGAATTATTGAGACATTATTAAGATTGTGACCTCAAGTTCACCATTGATTTGGTTACGGAATTGATTTTTTCTTGTTTACAAACCTTTTTTATTCCCAGCCAAAATTAAATATCATCGCCAGCTAAAGGTTTTCACACCCACCTGTAGGATTTTAAAATGTACACCTTAACATTCCTAGGGAACAAGTAGAACAAAAGAGTTTTAAAGGGGGCGCTGTTGTTATACTTAACACCTTCTGATTGTTGTCATCTCATTTTTCAGCAGGGATTACTCCCATCAATAATAAATACTGTCTGAACTCTAAATTATGCAACAGCTGCGATCAGCACAAAACACTTTTGTGAACGGTATTAAACAATGTGGAATCAAGTTTTGGTTCTTTTTTTTCTTTCTTATTTTTCATTCCACTTCTCAAATAAGCGCACAGACCAAAGTAGACTAAACAAGTATTTAGTTTAAGTTAAAATTAGGACACAAAAAAGTGAAACAAATACGACTTAAATCTCCCGGTTTGACATTATTAAAGCGTAAAATATTAATGGAATTAAAGTGATTAATGCATTTCTAAGTGAAGTATTTGTTTCACAGCTTCAAGCAGTGACTCCCATGCTGACAGTATTTTCCGTTCATACTTTGCTGTGCTCCAGCTCGCCCGCTACTCCACCGAGGGTCTCCTCCAGCTTGGACCCCTGGGGTCGACCACATTTCTTCCTGACACAAAATGTCTCATCGATGACGGCAGAGGACGCACCCCGAGTCTGAAAAAATGTGACGCCGTCTCCAGGATTTCCCAACGGCTTTGGGATTTTAAAAAGGAAAAAAAAAAAAAAAAAAAAAAAAAGAGAGAAGAAAGAACATTAAATAGCAGAGTTTTAGGAAATGTTACTGGTTTTAAAATGATCTCATTCTTATTTGGGGTTTGTTGTAGAACGGCCCGATCATCAACAGAGACACGGGTCGGTGCTTGGAGGTCGAGATGTCCAAAGATGCCAACTTTGGCCTCCGCCTGGTGGTGCAGAGATGTTCCGGTCAGAAGTGGATGATACGGAACTGGATCAGGCACCCCAGGCACTGAGGAGGCCGTCGTTTCCCAGACATCTTGGCCAGCATCTGCAGTCGCAGCAGCAGACCACTGAGGGAGGAGCAGAAACCGGTTTATTGCTGCGAGGCGTGGGATTTCACGCTACGAACTTGCAAAGCACGCCGACCTCCAACTCGGGCGATGGAGGTTCCACTGCGACGAGTCTTAAAGAAGAACACGATCAATGTATTTGTTCCCCTGAGCTGCTTCCTCACCTTCAGCAGAGCTGCACTGTTTGAAATGGCCAACCTCTCTGACACTCAGCCATATGTATAGAGCACATCCCCCTTTGTGCAGTCCAGTTCAATATTCTGCGGCAGTGACTCTACTGTAAAACTCTCGCTTCTTAGGAAGAAAAAGAAGAAGAGGAGGAAAAGACATGTAGGGCTTTTTGGGGTCTATTGACTTTCACAAGGTGGACTGGGGTAAATTAGGAGAGATAATTGTTATCAATGGCCAGATGAAACTGAGTCTTTCGGGAGTAATTTGAGGAAGTAGCTGTGGACATAACGTGCCGCCCTGGCAGGACATGTAATGAGCTCCAGAGCTGCTGGCTGTCATCCAAACTGGAGCGACTTCACCTGTACTCACACTTCTTTGTTTCTGTGGACTGTATGGCTCACTGTGGACTAAAAAAAAAAAAAAAAAAAGCAATCATGTGCCTTTTGTTTATGATTTTTTCAGCTTCATCTGACCTGAGAATGTCAGTCCCAAAAGCATGTATAAAGCTATTTGAAAGTTAAATTATAAAAAGTGTATAAAGCCGTTTAATAATAGTAATATATTGTAAAAAAAAAAAAGAGAGAGAAAGAGAAGAAAACGAAAGTGTAAAATTGATAAATGTCCTCACAATCAAAACAATTACTATTAGAATATTAAAAACCCTTTTTATTAGTCGCCTGTCTTTCTTTTTCAATATCTTCTTTAACGAATGAATGTTAGCTTTTTTTCTTCACGTTGTGCTAGCATTGTGTTCGGTGAATACTTGCATTTTCTTTTGTGCCGGGCCCGCTGCTGACATCGACAGAACAATTGCTTGTTTTTGTTGAGGCCGCTGTTACAGAAAGCTAAAGTCTCCGTCATGTTTGTGTCCCTCTGCTCTGATTGATCCAGACCACTAACTGGAAAGAAGTTCTTCAAAAAGACACACACAGACTTTCGATGGCTTCTTGTCCTTTCCACGATACAAAGAGATGTTTTATGCAACGCATAAAACAAATGCAGCATGCACAAGCAGCGGTAGGATTTACGTTAGTTTCAAGAGAAATATTTGAGCAAAAAGAGATATTTTGAAGGAGGATCTCATGGTGTGCTTCAACTCATTACAGTAGAAGTGTTTCCATAAAGAAAATGAAATGTTAGTAATACATATTATATCATCCAAAGTATTTTCTTGTTTTCTAATTCGCATATCAATTTGAGTGACATCCAACCTTCCAGAAAGGTTTTCCAGTTGGTGTGTTTCTGTGGATTTGCTTAGCACTGACATCAGACAGTAGCTGCGTTTCCACTGCAAATGTGTGAACAATTTAGCGAAAAAACACAATTAAAGTCACGCTTCACGTCGTTCACGTGCTGCGCCGTCATCCGACCACTTCCTGCTGGTCTCGAAGTTGTGAGTGGAAAGCAGCCGCCCACATTAATCCCCAATGTACTCCACTTTAAAGTTGAAACTGTGCAGGCAGGAGAGTACCATTCTCCCTGTAACTCCCAAACCCAGACTCATTCGTTGGATTGCCAGACACAGAGGCATCATTTTTCACTCTACTGCTTTAAACCAGAGAAAGCCTGCTGTACGCCACTGCATCTGACGCTCTGCGTTGCTTGGTGATGTAAGACTTGGATTCAGAAGAGCTTTTCTAGAACCTCTATTCACACATGAAGGGTACATTAAGTTTTGAGCTCTGACTGTAGAAATCGACTATATACAGTACCTCACGCCTGATATGTTGCGTTATTTTTGTGCCACACATAAATTTGTGCATACAAAAAGCTCCTTTTCACCTTCAATTGCCCAAACCATCTTCTTCTGACTTGTTTGATTTCTCTGTCTTTATTGACAATATGGTGCAAAAACACCATATTTGTGAAGCGTTTGGTAGTTGTTTTTTTTTTGTAATGACAGCTAATCCCACCTGAGCTGTGGATCTCTGTTGCTCCTTCAAAGTTACTCTATTTTTTAATACTCCTTGCCCTTCTTTGTCAGTTCAGCTAAAAGGCAGTGTTGCCAGCTCTTTGCCATCTTTGAATGTTGAATTAAACATGGTTCTTTGAAACCTCCACAGTTTGAGATGTTATTAACTAACTTTGCCCTGCTTTAAATTTCTCTGGCGTGTTCCTTGGTCTCCATGATGCTGTTTGATCACCAATGTTGTTTGTCAGACCTTAACAGAGCAGCTGTACGTAGAGTGAAACCATTTCACTTCCACTCTACGATGATACATTGCAGTTTGTTGACATTTTAAAGGAAATCCCTTTAAAATACATTGCGCAAGTTGTAAAAAGTTCAGTAGGTATGTCTAATTCTGCAAGCCACTGCATCTCCCTGGGCTTGTCTCTCGCTTAAAAGGTTTATTTATTGGTTTAGGAGGAAACGTCTGCTGTAAATGGAAGTCAGATTTAGCATTTCCATCAAGCCGATGAAACTGTATTTATATGGACTACCCTTTCTCCCCCCAACAATGTAGAAAAAAAAAAAAAGCAAATCACTTCTCTGCTCTAATGCATGAACCTCTTTTACCAGACAGCATGATTTAGGCTGCCGTCTACATTGAGCACTGAATGTATTTCTTAGGTTCACAAGAGGCTACCGTGTGTGTCCAAACGTGTTCTCCGCTGCCATCCGGCCTGGATAGAGTGCACTTCAAGCTGCTGTGAAAAGTAAAAAAGACCCTTTTCCTTGGTTTAGCCATGCTTTGTAACCTCCACATTCCACAGGCCCGTTTTAATTTGGTTTCCACCTGGTTGACCCTGAGAGATTGCCTCTGCTTGCCACTATGTTCCACTTCTTTGGCTCGAATCATTCCATATAAGCAATGCATCATCTGCGTGTCCTCTAAACAAAGACCGCTTCGGTCTCCTCCTCTGGTAATATCTTATTCGGGTCTCCGACAGGGTTTGCAAACAAGCTGCCTAGGTAATGTCTTTGCAGGAAGAAAAAAAAGTCTGAACCAAGAAATGATTCCAACAATATGGTTTCCTTAGACTTAATACTGGGGGAAAAAATGATGTTACCACTACTGACAGATTGTTTGATTCAGCAGGATACCGGCCCCGCCTGTAGAGTCCGTTTAAAACGCGCTGCTACGAACTGTGATGGTGGCAGCGGAAGCCAAAAGACGTAACGCTACACAAAATGGCCAAAGGAGCAAATGAGGAAAACCTTTTTCATTTTATTTATTGTGCCATTTGGGAATTGTAGTAATGGCTACACTTTGAAGAAATCTTTAACATTACAAAAAAGGTAATGTTATTTTCTTAGGTTTTCAGTACTAGTACTGGTGTGGAGGAGATTGAGCCAACTGGATGAATGAGCTTTTAGCGACCATAAGAACGCAGTTATGCTACTGACGCAGAAACTTTATCACCAGAGGCATGTGTAGCTGAGCAAGGCTCAAAAGCAACGTGTGATCACAGGCGGTGCGTAGAGTCCCTTACAAGACTGCAATCATCATTTGTTTACTACCACATGAGCTCGAAGCATTACCTTCTGAGTTTGTTGTTGCACGGGGAAAAAGACACACACCATTTGCATTTTTCTCCACAGAATGAATGACATATAAATACTGAAGTTATACTCAAAGGAAAAAGTGCTGAAGCTGAGGAATAGCGTTGAGGTCTGGATGGGGTTGAGTGGATAGGGACGCTGTGTCCGCGTCTGGAGCTTATTCATTTTGATTATTGTGGTGACAATACATTGTCAAGCCTGGGAAGGAGAGGCGAGTCTCATATTCAGAGACCCATTTATTCTCTAGCTTGTAGGTTTCTTCTGCAGCACCTCAGAGCGGTGCAGCAGAAGCCACCTTATCCTTCGTGGTGCCGGAACTGATTCCTCAGATCGCCATCGTTACACGTTGTTCTCCTGTCCTTAACGAGGTACAGCCACAGGAAAGCAAATTTCAGTGCACACCTGCAGATAAACTGGCGGCAATTAATGCTATCCCTGGAAGACGCAGACATTTGAACAGGCGGTTTATCTTTAATGAGCTAACCTTGAGGGACTGACACATATGCCCGTATCGTCATCCAGTGGGTATTTCTTTAAATAACACGCATATCGGTGGGATGCAGAGGCTGTTTTTGCAGGTATACGAGCAAAATAATCAATAGAATTCACTACTTTGGGGGGGGGGGACGAGTATAAAAATGACCTTTTGGCTTTGTCAACTTCGATCTGTCTCGAGAGTTTATTAAAATGGAGGGTGGGGGGCGGGGGGGGGTAAACTCCCGCTCACATCTCCCTGCAGTCTGGATAAGAGCCAGGCTTTATTGTAACTGTCACTGGGTCGTTCCAGCAGAGATTAATGTCATACAGTATATGAGCCCTTCTTAGGATGAGATATAATTTTTGCTTTACAGTATTTCAGCTCTTTATTAGTCCTCATCTAAGGCAGCCAATCTTCCCTCAGTTCCAGGCTCACATAAAAGGGAGCATTTGTCACTTGAAACTTCTCGCTGTATGGTCTGTTTAGTGCCGTGTCATTTATTGTAGACAATATTTGAGCTTCAAGGTGAGCTGGATAAAATCTACATGTTAAAGATATGACAACTGATCTTTTCAAAGAACAATATCCGTCTTGGAACAGCACAAGAAGCATACTTCCCCTAAGATCCAGTGAGGATAGCTGTTAGAAACCAATTTCAGATGTGAGATTCTATTTTCATACACTGGATACAACTGTTTACTGAAAAAAAAAACTTCACAATACATAAAATTACTGTTGTCAGTAGACCTACTAACTGACTCAGACTACAAGTGAAAAGGTGAAAAGCTTCCTGCAGAGCCAATTCTAAATAGAATCAGCGTGTGTCAGAATAAATCGTTTTAAACTTGTCGCTCAGCTCTTGGAATTAATGGGAGAGATAAACAGGAGTTAAGCTCTTCTTTAGCCAAGTAGAGGTAGAGCACCATAAAACCTATAAAGTAAGGTTGATTTTTATTTTTTATTTTTTTGCTCATTTCACAGAAACAAATCACAAGCTGCTCCAATACACCTGGCTATTTTAGATTACGAATACACAAACACTGAATTGCTAACCCCGTAGAATCCACAACATGTAAATCTGTGTACCTGTGCTTGAGTGCAGATAATTCAGCATTTAAACTTTACTTCAAATTAATACGTTAACTCTCTCAAGTTTTGCTAATGTCTCGTTAGCTTTAGTTTTCCTAAGTATAAATTGCTTGTTGTCCTGAAGGCTAAATAATTAGCTAACTGTTGGCTACACAGCTAGATAGCATGGTTTGCTAATGTACTGATCAAAAATAGGCTTCCAGGAATGTGTACCTTGAGACAGTAGTTTTGGAGGAGCAAACAAACTTGGCGGGTTGATTACTTTATCTTGTTTCATTTTAAGAAAACTAAAAAATCATGCTAATATCAGTGGTGCTACATATTTAGCCCTCCTGTTCCTAACAGCTTAGTGACGTCCTGTTGTACATGAATGCTGAGCTACATTTACTTTTATAGTGTTTCCAGTAACACCCAGGTAACAAGTTACATTTTTCCATAAAAAACATATAAGATAATGCATTTTTATTCATACTTTAAAACAATACAAAGGGTAAAACTAGTAGAAATCGCCAAGATTTCTGTTGATATGAAAAATCCAGGTTATCCACACATATAAAGAAATCAAATTAGTCCAAAAATTAAGTAAAACAACCATTTATTAGCCAATGCTCCTGGGAGCAGACAAGAGGGTCTCTGACCTCAAAGAACAGAGGCTGGACGGAAAGTCTCGATGCACCGGCGGCAGCACACAGGCAGGCATTAGTGCATGAAACGCAGGCTACAGTCAATATTTTACAGGTAGGCTGTGCCTGACACATTCAGCTGCATGTGAGGAAGATCACACATGAAGAAGCGGCACAGCTCAAGCTGACTGGAACTAGCTTGCAGGAATCGCCTCGCTTATGGGTAATGAAGTGGAAACATGTAAAGAATCATTTATTATTAAGTATCGAACACACGTGCAAAACATGTAGAGAACCTTCTTGCACATCCCTGCTGACGGCTATGAGAATACTTGGAAAAGATTCTTGCTGCTATGTGCAGATTAATTTCAGTTGGTTTAATATGGTCTGATGGCCAATAAAAAGGTTTCTCATTACCAATGAATTACACAGAATCATTAGGATGGTGAAAGCAAAGAGGCCTTTACAAAAAAAACGTTTTACTGATTAAAAAAAACAACTAGATTGTTAATGCTGGATTTCTAAACATCTAAATGTTCCATCAAGCAGTGCTGGAGGCATAAACCAGAAGAGACCAGAATATAATTTTATCATAAATTACTTCAAATCATCTCAACTATCCCTTCAAAGCCCTGCTTATTTTTTTTTGGCTTTTCATAATCCGTAAGCTACAATCATCAAAATTAGAAAAAATATGGGGAAAAATATCTCAGTCTACTAGTAGTAATTCAGTTTAATCCAAATGAGTTTCGGAAATGAGTGACAAAGAAATATTGAACTATTCAAATTTTTGGAGATGTCTTTCCGAAAGACATATTTTTATACAACTTTGCAACTAAATATCTGGTCCAGGTCAGAAATAAAAAAGTTAACTAGATAAACAGTTTATTTTAATTCGTCTTTAGGGTCAAATAAGTCAATTTATCCCAAATCAGAACTTACTTGTGCCACAAAGATAAGTTGTTGTTTTTTTTTTTTTTTTCATTAGAGTCTCACAGGATGGACCTTTTTTTCTGGTCAATATTTCTGAACATTTGCGACTGCCCGGCTGCACAGGCTGTCTACTTCTGATTTCAATTTAAATGCAAAGTTAAACTCACCTCACCCCATCTCCAGGTCCAAACTCCAGAGTACAGGTTTTTTTTTTTTTTGTCATTTCAACTTCATGAAGGAAATGAAATTCCCACAACTTCTCCTTTGATTGCTCAGCATGTATGACGATTACACCTGACGTCTTGTGGAACTGTAACGCGCAACAACGTGCTTTCTGTACAGCTGCGAGGGCGAAGGTCAAACGGTCTAAGTGAATTGCACCTAAAAAAGCAGCATGCGGCAAGCTGCGCCCTGGGCGCCGGGGTAATAA